CGTCTGGACAGCATTACATGGTGTACAGAGGAACCCCCCCCACCACTCCCTACTGTAATTATAGCCTGCATCATTGGAGTGCTCTTACAGAAGTTTATCACTGCACTGTGGCAACGCAAACACACACACACACACACACACACACACACACACCACACTCCTCAAACACAATAATAGAGGGACTGCTAAAAATTCCATCTTCAACAGAGAGGAGTCTTCTGTTGTGGCAAACACGCTATTCATGTGACAAAAAATGCAGAGAGAGGGCCGAAGTGCTAAGTAAAGGAAGGTGAGGTCTCTAACTGTCTGGTGGCATCATTTGATTTTGCTTCATGATGATAGTCAACTAAAGGGCACTGTGGGAACTGTAAACAACACCCACCGCAAACGATGGTGAGCCGGGTATCATGTAATGGTGCCTGGAACTCTACCCCTGTGAAGCAGGGCGAACGGGGAAGTGTGGTGGAAAGGCAGAGGCCCAAGTGATAAACAGAGCTGAGGGGTAATGTACATAAAGGCCCGCTGCATCGCTCTCAGGAGATGAATAATGAGCCAGGCTGCATGTAAACTGTGGTTGGAAAACAACAAAAGCTGCTGACTAACTGTAGTGGTGTGTGGGGAGGTGGGGACGCCCTGTTATTTGGGCATTTGCCTGTACAGGGAGGCCTCTCTCGCCTAAACATACTCCCTTTGTCTGAATTAAACAGGACTGTGCCATTTGCAAACTGAATTTGCAAATCAAATCAATATAAGTCTGGTACAATGAAGTATGTAGTTATTGTATAAGATGTGCATTAAAGGCATAACAATAATGAATGAATGGCAGTTACTATATGGAAGATTTTAGGTGCCTAAATGAAAACATACACAGAAATAAAGTGAAATACAATTCACATTATTTGCATTTGCGTATGCATTTACTGTCATATAAATTGAAAATGATTTTGCCTTTTGTCCTTAATAAGTGAATGAACATTGCAACATGAACACTATGCAAAATTCTTAGATTTTAACAGAAAGCCTGTTACAAACTGGGTGCGTGGAGCTTGAAAGACTGCATAGAGGGAGTAATGAAAGACGCTATCAAATAGCATTATGGGAAGTTTAGGATCCAGTGCTACATTAGTGACTCACAGTCAGGATATCTCTGTCTCTGGTGCTTTGATTCTGACCTTTCCTTGTTGCATTGCGCCTCCAACCTCATGGACATTTACTAATAAAACACCGTTTTACACCGTGATAAAATGTATAACATAAATGTAAAATATAAACAAAAGTTGCATTTACCCTTCAGGCAGTCAACTGTCATGGTGTAGTAACTGTCTTGTAGTTTTAATAGCAAGCACTCAGGAAAAGGCACTTGGATTTTATCCCTTTATTTGCAAAGCACAGGCATAAAAAAAATCATCATAATTAAAACAGTGAGAAAGATTTTAAAAATTATGACTATAACAAGTTAAGTTTTCAGTTTGTTTCCATCTTTGAGTCCATTGACAATGATGTCCTGTTTCTTGCAATGAGTTGTTTATCTTTTCGATTCTTGGGTCATCGATTTGTTCACTCTCCATTGACGTCAGATTTGTTGTCGTTGTCCTTGACACACCTCTTGTTCAGTCCGCTGAAATACTTCTCTCTGAAGGCATTGTGTCCCTGGTAGGGGCTGAAGCGTGGGTCTGCTAGATGAGCCAGGCTGTCTAACTCCTTTAAAGAGACAAATGTAGAGGTTATCACACTGAACTCACTTAACCTGACTGTCTACATGTGAGAACCATTTTGCCACATCATATGTAGGGGAATAGGAAAAACAATTTTCACCCTCAACTGTTTGTAATAGAAAAAACAAGCTTCCTGATACATCTTACTATATAAATTTACAGTGTATTAAAAGGGTGTTGTGAGAAAAATAAAATAAACAAACATAAATCAGGATAACAGGCAGCAGCCAGTTATGCCCCCCCCCCAAAAGGAGCATTTGTTGAGACTAAAAAAAGTGATAACACTATATTAATATAAAGTTAATTTGGATCTAAAAGTTGAAACAGCTCTTACTTTTTCCAGTCAATGAAGTAACCCCCACTACATGTCAGTATAACACTGGCAACACAAAGTTTGCATACTTTTTGCATGTAGGAACAGGACTGTGCTTGTGTATATTAACAATGTATATGAACTGTTATGAATCCCTACAGTTAAACAGTTTGTCTTGGCTGTAAGGTAGCCGCTGGTCAACGGAGGGATGAGGGGAGGAAGAGAGATGCTGGGAAGAGGAATAATGAGGTGAGTTGAGTTGGAAGTGATGACTCCAATGCCGGGCCTGTAATTTGTCAGCAACACCTCGCTTTTGCTTGCCGACGCTGCCAAGCAACCTGGAAACAGTTTCCATGACCACACGGAGGGAAAAGCCTGGGCAACAACACTGACAACATAACCGTGACCCCAAATTAATAAGGACAGAGGGACATAACTACAAATGATTGGAAACTGTGGAAATAACCACTCAGCCAACAACCATACAGGTGGAGGTTTATATACATTTAATGTTAATCGTGCAATTAAGCCATTTATGGCCACCTAACACGTTATGTCACGCCGCATAAATAAGACCATGTGAGGTTTTTCTGCACTAGTTTAACAGGAAACGTTTACAGCAATTAGGCTGTTCCCTTTGTCAAAACACACAAACAGCATGGACACAAGTACATGTATCATAGACATACAAATACATTTATGCTGTGAACCCTGGTGAATGAGAGCAAATAGGTGCCCATTGAGGCCTATGTGGAAAGGAAAAACTCTGCGACCTGACATAGATACCAGCGAGATAAGATCAAACAGTTGTGTGTTTGTGTGTGCGTGTCATACAAGGGCCTTTATGGGAGCAATTTGGGGTTTTGAAGTGGAAATGGATGTCAGATACAAAGATGGATTGTTTTTCATGCGAAGTGTGATTAAGCCATTTCAGGTTTCAGTATAAAAAAAAAATTTGCCAATCACAGCCAGATGGTGAGGATTTACCCCAGACAGACAGAGAGACACCATCACTTCCATTAGGATGACATGTAAAAAAAAAAACCATACACATATGCACATACATGAACATGACACATACTTCTGTGGTTATATATACAAACAATTATATGAACTAGACATTTAAAAAAAAACATGAAACAACACGCAGGCACACACATGGTTACATTTTACATAAACTAAGTCATATCTGTGTTGCTGTTCATGCTCACACATACAAAAACAGCACACCCAGGTTGGTGCTGTGCAGATATGTTGTCATTTATAACTAACTAAAAACAGCATATTTAAGAAGTTGTACTTCCAATCAAAGGGTGAAGAAAAGTAGATTTTATGGTAAACTTTATCAGGACGGAAGGCATGTTTTAAAACCTGTAAAATAACTAGTTTTTCCCTTGCACATAAATCAAACAACAATCACAGAATGCATTTGTACTTCTCAAATAATTGTTGTCTTTAATATGTCAGAAAATAGCAGTTTTTAAATTTCCCAGAGCCCAAGGTGACTTACTCAAACTGCTAGTTTTATCCACCCAACAGACCAAAACTAACTCTGTTCTAAGATTATTCAGTTAACCAACATATGACAAAGAAAGCAACATATTCTTACATGGGAGAAACTGGAAACACAATGTCTGGCATTTTTGTTTGAAAATGAAACAGCTGACAGTCAAAATTGTTGTTTTTTTAAATTATGAATTTTCTGTTGATCGAGTTGTCAGTTGTAATGCAAATGCATTTTGAAAGTATAATGCACACACCTCAGGCTCCTTGATCTTCTCCATGGTGATCAGGCGTCGTGAGGTGTGGCTGGAGAGCGTCTGCTCACAGTTACTGATGAGCCGGAGACATGGATGAAGAGGTACCGTCTCCTCACTGTACCTGCAAAGGGAACACAGAGACAGTTACAGTCTCTGTAAGGTGAGGAGCAGAGAGACAGAAAAAAAACTATTTTGTCTAAAGGCCATATAAATGCTGCTAGTAAACAGAATAATCTTGTCAAAATTACTACCTAACTTTTGCTAACTCTCTTTGCCACTCATTCCAGTGTCCGTCTTTCTCCCCCCAATGCCTTTTTCTGTTTCCCTCTCACCAATCAAATCATTAAACATTTGACCAGTGCAGTGTAAACATGGCTGGCAAAGCCAAGGTAGCTCATTTTGTGCAAAGTTGAAGATGGAAAAAGTGACTCTGACCTGACAGGTCGACTGCTGGCTCTGTCGTCACTAGCCAGGCCAGGTTAGTGCCTATTAACAGCGGATGATGTATGTGTTTGCATTTTTGTGTCAGTAGGACTTTCTCCTAACCACCATCGCAGTAGCAACGGTCCCAACTCGAAGCCAGATTTGCCCGACACTGTTTGTCAGCCCTGTTGCCATGGCCACATGTGGGCCTCTGCGGCGACAGGATGTTTGGTTGTCACGGTTACTAGCGGTGATGCAGCCATGTTGTAATTCTGGAGCCCGACTTGTTGAGCAAGTGTCAACGTCTAAGCTGGGGCAGGGGTTGTCTTTCAACCGATGAGGCATTTTGTTGATATGGTGTAAAGTGTACTTTATACTAAAGCGTCAACGATTAGCTGATTATTCAATTAGTTGGTCGAAAGAAAATTAATCGACAACTATTTTGATAATCAATTAGTCGTTTCGGGGCGGTACGGTGGTGCGGTGGTTAGCACTGTCGCCTCACAGCAAGAAAGTCGTGGGTTCAAACCCTGGTTGCCCCGGCCTTTCTGTGTGGAGTTTGCATGTTCTCCCCGTGTCTGCGTGGGTTCTCTCCGGGTGCTCCGGCTTCCTCCCACCTTCCAAAGACATGCAGTCTAGGTTAATTGGCGACCCTAAATTATCCTTAGGTGTGAGTGGTTGTTCGTCTATGTGTGGCCCCGCGATGGACTGGATGCGCCCGATGTCAGCTGGGATTGGCTCCAGCCCCCCCATGCAGGATAAGCGGTTGACGATGGATGGAATTAATCTTTTCGGGCATTTTTTAAGCAAAAATTCTTCAATTGAGGATTTGCTGCTATTCTTTGTAATTTATGATAGTAAATGAAGAGTCTTTGGGTTTTGGACTGTTGGTTGGACCAAGGAAGCAATCTGAAAACGTCACTATGGGCTCTGGAAAATTGTGATGAGCATTTTTCACAATTTCTTGACATTTTATAGACTGAATGATTTGCCTATTAATCGTGAAATAGTCAGCAGATTATTCAATAATGAAAATAATCATTAGTTGCAGCCCTACTTTATACAAAACAAATTATTTGAAATGCACCAAACACATTTTTAAATTATAACCATATTATTTAAAAACCAGCTAATATGTACATGTGCTCTCAACTTCACAACATGCACAATCTGATGCTGAAGCAGTGGCCTCTAGCAACTTATAAGAAGTTTTGACCTGAAAATAAAAACATGGCTCACTCATACTCAGTGACACACGTATCACCTTACTTCTTCGCTTCACTCGTTTATATTGTAATTAGGTCACTTTATGGCTGTGATGACGGATATTTCATCATCTGTCTTGATACTTTTTCTCCCTTCATTTATTTTTTAAGGGAAGAGAGTTTAAGGGGTCTGACCTGGTTCTAGACGCCGTCTTTTGCTGACAGGACTTTGTGTCACCTGTCATCACACACACACACACATCCCCTCCCCATTCTCATGAAGCAGACAGACACACACACAATCCCCACTGTTTATATCACAGCCATAGATGCAGATACATACATATGTGGGGTGACAGAAACACGATATCTCCCCAGTAGAGCCCCAGATTAGGCCCAGGAGACAGACTACGTCTGGGCTTACATACACCGACACACATATTCCAAAACACACATGTGATTGTGTGCAGAAACACACACACACACACACACACACACACACACACACAGAGGTCAGACTACAGAGACAGACAGTTCACATTTCTGACTTGCCTGGCCTCAGACGTTTATTTTGGCATGGCGCTCTGACAAGCACAGAGTCCAGGGCCGGTAGATGAGTAGCAAAGACAAATGTGTGAACATGATGACACACATGTATGCACGGCCTCATCCACAAGACCACACGCATATTCATGCATATGTATGGATGCACACACACACACACACACACACACACACACACACCAGCAAATGTCCAGAGTTTTGCAAAGTGTGTTATTATTCTTGTTCTTTATCTCACATACATACTAAAAACCAGAGTGACCACAGGGAGATCACGCCCTGCAGGGTTTTTCTTCCCCTACGTCCATTGCTGCAGCTGTCTTTACACCTGCACTTACAGTCAGCACTTTCTTCTGCTTTCTGCTAATGCACAGAATATTTAACAATGCACAACTTTGTTTCAGAGGAGCCGTCTTTTAGAGCCAACATATAAAGGAGCTGTCAGTTGTGGTTTGAGGTTTAGGAAAACCTCAACACACCTGTATCCTGCAGTGTCATTTACACAGGTGGTTACAAACGCAGTACAATGTTTTATGTTAGCGAGAATGGAATTGTGCTTCAGGGAAACGCTGGAAGGTAAAAATCCCAAGTGGAAAAGTCCTTAGTGTGTAAATCTACTGGCGTCAAACTGAAAGAGCTACAAAGACATTCAGCACCTCATTAACTTATTTGTCAACATTCACTACAGTTTGTGTTACATTATCCCTTGATTCATTTACAAAGCCAAATTTAATCATATGCAGTAATTAGATTGTATAAAGTGTACTCATGTTTACATTATAATGCTTCTTTGCTTCATGTTGTTTGCTTAATTGGGGAATTAACTAGGCCAAAAATAGTCAAAAATGCTGTAGGTTCTGCTGACAACAAACCTGGTAAGGTTTATGGTATGAGCCTGCCCCCTATTGATGCAAAGTATTAGTTGGAGAAAAGCAACACTTCAGCAAAAATCTCTCTCAATCTAAGCCTATGAGGACAAAGTACACTTCAAAATCAAAATATAAATTTCCACAAACCAAGACATGTTTTTAAACAACAACAACAGAATAATAATTGTCAACTTAATTTGTCAGCTGACGTGGCCTTCATGGAAGACGTCCGACATGGAAACAAGGCCAAGACACTCAACTATGCACAGAAACACAGGAAGAGGGGTGCAGATAAATGGCAACATGTACTCTGGACCGATGAGTCATAATTTGAAATAAACATTGTCGGATTTTGGTCAGAATTAATGGTCTCCTCAATGCTGAGAAGTCCAGACAGATAATTATCCATCATGCAATACCATCAGAGAGGCATCTGATTGGCCCCAAATTTATTCTGCAGCATGACAATGACCCCAAAAATACAGTGAAAGTCATTAGGAATTATCTTCAGCGTAAAGAACAACAAGGAGTCCTGGAAGTGATAGTATGGTCCCGACAAAGCCCTGATCTCAACATCATTTAGTCTGTCTGGGATAACATGACAAGACAGAGAAGCAACTGAGGCTGCCTAAATCCACAGAAGACTTGTGGGTAGTTCTCCAAGATGCTTGGGCCAACATACCTTGAGTTCCTTCAAAAACATTGTGCAAGTGTACCAAGAAAAACCGATGCTGTTTGAAAGCAAAGGGTGTTCACACAAAATGTTGTTTACTCACTTTACATTTATCAATTAACAAAATCCAATCTATTAACGTGTCTATTTTTGGTGTATTCAAACTTTACAGCATTTTTCAATCCTGGCCTAAAACTCAGAGCAAGCAGTTTGAACTGGTGACTGTAGCATCCTTCTGAAGACCTTTATATTATCAGCGAATGACACCATAAAGGTTTGTCTACTCACTCTGGTCTGTAGACAGGCAGCCAATAGACGAGCCTCCCGCCCATGACCAGGTGGTGGGCAGCGAAATTTAGCAGATCTGTGAAGATGTCACTCAGGTGGTATGCCTGTGAGACAGGGACATGAGACTCTCCATAGCTGGGCAGAAGAAATATACACAAGCATGTTTAGAACAGAGCAAAAAAAGATAACAAACACAACATTTCCCCTGCTCTAGAGTAAAATACCCCTGCTCTAGAGTAAAATATGGCCTTACTGTAGTTAGTAATCACTATTTCATGCCTTGGAACTAATTGAGGTTCATTTCGTCATTAAGTCATAGAGTATCAGATGAACTTACATGCCGTCAGGGGGTTTAGTGTTATCTTTGTGGGAACCTGTTCTCCTTGTGGACTCACGGATACCATACGGAGCTGACAACAAAAGGACCACATAGGAATCACAAACAAGAAAAACAAAAGATCTTATTGATCTTGTGAAATAAATGCAATAGATTGCACAGGTGTAGCTGGGGCACATGGTTGCTGAAATACTGCATCGATATTGCTACAAAACCAAGAACAATAAAAAGAAAGTCAACCGCAGCACAAAAGCTATCTATACATGTATCACAAGTTTTCACACTCAGCTTGCCTAAAATTTTAATAGTTGTCTGTTACATCTTCTGTTTACAGATATAAATAATTAATTGACTAGACCTACGATCAGTAATGACGGCATCAAATAGAGCAGCCTCCCTCCACACAGGCTTGGATGCATCAGACACCATTACATCTAAATACATCTTCTCTGTTCCATACTGCCGCAGGTTGGCTCTGATATTCTCATCAGGTCCACGCCACTTATGGTTTTTACGGCTCGACCTTCCTGAAAGACAAAGGCCCTTTTTACGAAATCTGGAAAGCAGTCAGAGCATGGTCCTGCCACTGTTGGCCCTGAACACAGTAATGACCTGCAGAAATATGTGAATTCAAATATAACCTAAAAATGAAGCCGCAAACCCAACATATCAGAGACTACAAATGATGTGCCGTGTCAGCTCTGAGTAAACCAAACTTACCTTTTCCATGAATAGTGTTGTAATCAATATCTGTTCCACAGACATAGGCTCCAAACTGAGAACATGCTACCAACAGGCTCCCTAAAACAGACCAAGAGACAAAGAACTGAATCTATTTATTGAAACAGCATTCTCCACGTGTATGACTGCCTGTAGCTTCACATGTGTATGAGAGTCGGTAATAGGATTATCTCACCAGTGCCAACAAACGGGTCAAAGACGAGGTCATTCTCTTTGACCCTGGCGTGGTTGGCCATAATGAATGAGAGCCCAGCATCCATACTGGTGTTTCCTATGAAGTGTCTGTTTTTCACACTGTGGGAGCGAATAAGTTCACGCTGTCCATCCGCTATCTGGCACAGAAGTGTGTAAAGATTAAAGGTGTTCAGTTGCAGACCAACCCTTATTAGTCAACATAAACAGACAGTGAAATGTATCTCACCCATCGGCCAAAATAGATGTAGTTTGGATGCTCAGGGATGTTGTTGGGGTCTGTGCCGTAATCTTCCAACAAGCAGAAAACATGCTGGGGGCTCTTCAGGCTAACTGCACCTTCAAACGTAAGATACTCCATAGCCTGGAGAGAGATTACAAAACTTGACATTCTGCACACACACAGACAGACGTTAAAAGATGCACATACAACACATACATTTATATGTTTTCACATTCACTCAGTCATTCATTTCCACACAGACACACACACAAACTTCTAAATACTCACATCTATCCTTTTGATTCTGTCTGAAAACTCCAGGGTCTTGTTGAAAGTGTAGACATTGATTCTGTAAGTTGAGTCTTTGTGCATGAATGGTGACTGCAGGGGTGCGTGGAGAAAGAGCACAAATTAGCACATATTAGTTTAGACTCTGTTTCATATGAATGTTTTCCTAAAATTGCAGGGATTGGTCTGTCCAACACAACAGCACCGTAGCACAACAGACCATGTTCTCTGCTGGGTAGCTCAAGAGGGATGTTTTGAGTTCACTGTGTGTTTGTCCGTGGCCCCATAGTTCAAATGCAGACCTGTAACGATAAAGCAACATAAACTACAGCTACAGTTACTATAGCACAGAAAACCCTGCCAATGTAACAAGGCACAGATCAAGTTTAAAGGCAATAGGTGCTACATGTTGAGGTCATTCCATCGCTACAGCTGCGGGCAGGGCCAACACTGCCGTTCACACAAAGCGAAAAACACTTACTTTGCACAAACAGATCTGGCCATGATGCCGCGGACATCCTCCTCAGACAAACCATCCAAACACCAGAAAGGGGACTAGAGAGAAGAAGCAAGGACACGAGTGAGTGTGGGGTCTACATTGGGTCTGAACGATATGCAAAAATTATAATGAAACAAGTTTTCTCAGGGCACTTTTCATATAGAGCAGGTCTACAACATAATCTCTTTATAATATTATTTACAGACATCCAACAATTCCCAGAATGTGATTTGTAGGCCGGGGCATCTTGGTAGCACCATAATACTTCATTTATAATGAACTGTTCAGCCTTAGTCTACAGGATAGAAACCTTCTAATGTGGTAGCTGTCAAATCATCCACCATCATATCGATTTATTTAAAACAGCTGGGAAAAACATTAGGACAAGAATTAAAATACATTTAACCTGCAAACCTTTTCTTTGAAGTTTAGACTAGGATGGAACGGTTTTCCTCTGAGAGACAGCAAAGCCTTAATCTCCTGCAAGAATGAGCACATAAATCACAAATGCTGATATATGCATTGCAATCTATTTGAAAAATATACACATACGGGCAGATTAAAGGGAAACTAATGATTTGGTAGTGCACCCTCGTGAAGTCAGGGGATTTAAGAGAGACAGATTAAAGAAAAAATTGTCAAACTCATTGGAGGAGAGGTCAAAATGTTGTGAACTTTGTCTGGTATGGGTCAATATTTTGAAATGCAAGATCATACAACTTAGATAATGTAGATGATGTAATGCAATATTTTTATTCAACCCTTGCTGTCAGGTAAATTTCCACCTCGCTCAAACTCCAAACCCCCAGTTCATACCAAGGGGGTAAGCCAGAGATCGGACAGTGAAGCCCAAAAATGACGTAAAAACCCTGTGACACCCCGTCGCACATGAGAGATGTAACCGTATTACTTAGATTATAAACTCTCAGCAATCAAAAAATTCTATCAGAGCAATCATAACGCTGCCTTGGTGTTTGGCAGGTGAACCTTGTAGGTGGGCTGCTTAAACAGTGACGATCCCAGTCAGACAAACACATTGAGCCATGAATAGGATATCACTGGAGTATAGAAATTTATATTTATATTTAAATAATATATATAAGACATCACCAAAACAGAGCATGATTCTGCTTATTTACAAGTGTGCATTACTGCAGATCGAGTCTATAATATATACAATGAACGTCTCCTTGTGCTATTATGCGTATTGGTCATATTCACATAACAGTTAGTAAGTTAAGTATAACGTTACATTTATGATAAGAAATAGTGACGGTGCAAGTGTGAACTAACGTTACACGTCTATCCGCACGTCGATACGCGTTCACACGGGGGGAGGTCAGGTGGAGAAATGTGTTAATGTATTATTATCATGTGATTAAGCACGTGAAACCAAAGTCTATAAAATCTAATCCCACCGCTAACATTTAACTTACAGTAGTAATAACAGGTGAGGCTGTTGTCGTAGTTAGCAAGTGGCTAACACAGCACACCGAGGGACTCCTGTTTTCCAAATCCTGCTCTTTTCACGGCCAGTTCACATTAAACACTCACAGTACGAGCTAGATAGAAACTGAGAGTAGTTTATGAAGGTTACCGGCAACCTGAAGTCCAAATTATCTTGGGCCAGATGTAGTAGATACTGGAGGCATGTTCGCTTGTTGGAGGTCGCCATATTTGTTGCGGATTCAAACTCGTCCGGTTTAAAACTGGGCCCTGAAAACAAAAGTACCGCTTGGGGACCAAATCACCATAAATGGAGAAGAATGAGGTCTTGTCTTTCAGTTTAATTTAACACACTGCCTGTGCTTGTTTGTTTATGTGCGCATTTTTATTCATATCTACAGGTGGTTAACTAGTTTTACCATTAACTGCTGTTAATTTAAGATTAATCTAAATGTAATTTGGTGACTTTGTTCACATTTAACTAACTATATTGTTTGTTTGCTAGTTGGTTGGTTGTTGTTTTTTTAAAAAGTGACCTATAAGCTCTTGTTATCAATAACTCTATTCTGCACTTGCATGTTCGGATCAGGTTCAGGTAACCTCCTCTCTCCTCTCCAGGCTGTAATCTGGCTTTACTTCGGAGGCACCTTGTCTCCCGTCTAACCAGTGATTGGCTGCCCGGATCTTCGCTATCAAGCCACTGGCCGACACTGGTGTCCATCAGAGTGGTTCTGCCTCGGGACAGAAAAGCACTCCTGCTGCTGTCAGCAGTGCTGCTGTATTGTAAACTTGCACAGTTACAATGCAACCGGACTTGTTTGCACTTTGGCTGCAATGAAACATTATTGCAGGTGAAGTAAGGATCGAGTGAGTCGGTGTTTGACATGTAAGTTGGATCACGTTTGATAATCGTTTACTCTAAATCTCTGGAAGGTTGAATAGATTTAGGTTACTGGACAAAGCAGGGTGTTCCCTTCTTCTAGTTTTGATGATGAACTGATATTGATTTTCTACTTTCGTTTTTAGGAATATGTCAGTTAGCCTACATTTGTTGTTGAGAGTGTGTGCTAAAGCATCACTGAACTCTCAGTCATCAGTTTAATAGATTCCTATACAGATACAAAAGCACACCAACAACATAACAGTAGAATGATAATTAGGTGAAAAATAACATTAAGCTTGAAAGCCAAATATTTTAATTTTAGGTAGTTGTTTTTTTAAATAACAAAGCAATAAACACAGGGAAGGGCTACAATTCAGTGAGTGGCTACAACAGTATTCCCATAGAAATTAAAGTTATGTAATCTACTCCTCAGCAGAGCCAGTGATGGCGACAAACAGCCTGAGCACTGCCATCATGGAAGCTGAAGATGATGCCCCAGCTCCTGCTCAGTTAAGCAACGACACTGCCGTGTGCATTGTTTCTGTGAAAGGCTTAAAGGAGAACTGGCAGAAGTGGTCCAATGAGCACCAGGAGTACCAGAAGCAGAACCCCTTCAGTCAAGACACCAGGCCCAGTATGGTGGTCCCTCAGAAAGGGCAGGACGACTACGGGAGGCCCCTGCAGGGCTCCTTGACGGAGCAGCGAGGGAAGGATGCTCACACACACATCAGCAACGAGGTTCAGGAGCTGTGTGAGGTGATAAGGAACATCGGTGAACATAGAAACCAAGATGGGGATGGAAGCGACAGCGATGGGAAAGTTATCACTGTTGAATTTGGGAAACTGTTTGAGCATTATGTGACTATCTCTAATAAACTGGTTGGGATTCTTCTACGAGCGAGGAAGCAGAGGCTGGTTGACTTTGAGGGGGAGATGCTGTGGCAGGGGCAGGATGACCATGTAGTTATCGCTCTGTTGCAGTGACAAGAAACTTGGATTACTGTTTATGCCTTGGTCCATGTTACATTAAGTACTAGCAGAGGGAAGTATAGAGCTACTTCATGGCATCACTCACTGTAGTATTCAGATAGCAGGGGGATTGCAATCATTTTATTTAGAAAAAAAGTGCTCTTTTTCTTGCTTACACAAGAAACCTCAGTAGCTGATAACACACCACCTCCCTGAGGAATGTACTTTAAGCGTGCTAATGCATTTTCTCCTCATGCTAAAAACGCAAGATCTACTAAATCTACTGTCCAAAGTGCAGATACTTGCAGGAGGTAGAAAAAGTAAACCTGAAAGAAACGGACGGATATAAGTTAATCTTTTATAAACTTAATTGATTACAGATTTGGGTCATTCCAGGCAAAATGCCTATTAGCAGCATTTGTCAGCAATAAAAAAAAAGTCATCAGCATGTTGATATGCGAGTTTTCAACGCAATTAACTAAAACTTACAACATAGGGTGAAATACTGTTCATACGTTGAAACTTAACAAGAGATATGTCAGATATACTGTAGATATGCCTAATATTGCCCTCCTTTAGTGGTGGTTACTAGGGTGACATAGTTACTTTAAAAAGAGTACATTTTCATGTATTTACATTATTTCATATTTCACTCAGTGTTGCTAAACCAACATTGGTCTAAATAACTAAATATTTTCTTCCCTAGCTTTTTCATGTGAGGAAAGTGGAGGAGTGAGCAGCTGAAATGAAGTCAGAGTGAACCAAAGCCAAAGAGAACATGAGGCTGCCTGTGACAGACAATATGGTGCTATAGGATGAACTTGATCCGACTTGGCTCGGTGCTTCAGCGCATGTATTTATATATTAAGTGTGCTTTGTAATTCAGGCAACGTCATTACAGTTTAAAACTTTGTATACCTGCACCACACTGAAATGCTGCTTTAATGGAGTGAGAACTACACAGTAAACTATGCACAGACTAATAGATGGCATAATATCTGCTGCTATTAAAAGTAATGGCCATGCAAACTAATGGAAGTTTCTTTAGCATGAGTCAGCAGTAAATTGATCAATTTGCAAGTACATCTTATGGTATTATAATAAAGAAAGAAAAGAAACAGCGTCTGGTCTGTTATTGTTACTGGAGGTGCTTTGTGAATACTAATCGATGGAATTAAACTAATGACTTGGAGAGAGAGTGTAAACTGATATCTAAAACTCTCTACATTAGAAACACACAGAGAAGCAGCAACACATTATTTATTCTAAATTAAATTAATTCTTAAGTGCATACAAATTCGTACAGTAGATACAGTATGGTTTTCATTCTTTACGTGCCTTATTATACAGTAGTATAGTATTCACTTCATGCACCAACCAGTCACAATCTTAAGATTTACATCAAATCAAATATAAATGAGCATGTCCTAAAAAATACCTAATTGTGTTTCAGTGCTTTTTGAGATCATTAAGCATACTTAGTGTCAGAGGATGACTTAGTTGCTTCCACCATAAAGAAGCCTTGTAAATAGTTAATAAAGATGTTACTCTGTGTTTGGCCCATGTCAGCTAGGCCACAAAATGCCCATCAGTACAGAGATAACTTAACATAGCTGAGGAACTCATGGTATATAAAGCGGTCCAATGTTATGTCATACGGAATCATAGAAATTAATTTTTCCTAAGAGTTTTAAATACATTTCAGTTATGCATGCAGGAAATCAGATCTGCAAAGCACTAAGGCAGTCCTGCATGTCAGGAAATCAAACAACTTGTGAATCATACGGTCGTTTCTGGCTGTGAAATGTCGATAATGAAAATTATACAAGTCATCTCAATACATCTGAGAAACCATCCAACGAAGGTTAAAGTCAAGGGCAACTGGACTTGGTTACTATTTAACCTCAGTGGGCTCGTTTGCCAGGATCGTCGATACTGCTGGTTCGTTAGTGCTCCTGGTTGCTGTAACGACAGTGGTTAGGACTACCCGTGGCCTAGACTGAACAACCATCGTTGGTATCTTCACCTGAGGCCAATAGGTTACGTTTGTTGAGTTTCCTGGGAAGCGATGAAAGGACAGCATTGTAAGTGGGAGATAAGTGGTGGTGTAGACCCCCTCCTCTGTTCAATGACGGAGGACACTCGTTTGAGGACCACCAGGTGCACATTTTAGACAGAGAAGATGGATGGTTTGAAAGAGGTGTCAAGGAAGCCATCTACACCTGGGTTGAGAAGCCGTCGTTGAACAGAGGAGGCGGTCTACGCCACCACTTATCCCCCACTTACAATGCGGTCCTTTCATCACTTCCCAGGAAACATTTGGGCATAGATAAGATGCTTGCCTTTGGTGTGGGAGATCTGGGTTCGATTCCCACTGTGAGACATTCACCATTGTGTCCCTGAGCAAGACACTTAACCCTAGTTGCTCCAGAGGCGTGCGACCTCTGACATGTATAGCAATTGTAAGTCGCATTGGATTAAAGCGTCAGCTAAATGAATAAATGTAATAAATGTAACTCAACAAACCTCAGGTCTCAGGTGAAAATACCAACGATGGCCCTTCAGTCTTGGCCATGGGTAGTCCTAACGACTGTCGTTACAGCAACCAGGAGCACTAACGAACCAGCAGTATCAATGACCCTGGCAAATGACCCCACTGAGGTTAAATAGCTGAGTTTCCCTGCCAGTCAGTCAGAACTGAAGAAGTCCTTTGGATGAGGGACAAAACGTCTTCCAGTATCTTCAATCAAGTCCAGTTGCCCTTGACTTTAACCTTCGTTGGATAACTATGACCTGGATGACTGAGAATCTTCACAGACATCTGAGAAACCAGAAAGAATGCCTTAAACATTTTCTTTGGTGATTAACAGAGTTGAATCACACTGTTACCATAAACTAAACACATTTTTATTACGGCAGATTAATGGAGATTTAAGTTAACTTCTTCTGTAAAACCTACTTACTTGTAATCCTAGAGCATTTGTGTGACACGACATGTCAACTGTCAAGAAACAAGATTTGGCTCCAATCAAGCATTTTATTTGGCCTCCAGGCTGAAAAATCCTAAGTGCTCTCTTGCTGAACATGTCACCAGTTTAAAATACTGTTATTAGCTCTGGCCAGACAGACAGCGTCGTAATGTGAGTGCATGTCATCCAACGTGACATCTGCAAGAAGGTGGATGTTTCAGTCCTTTCATCACAGTCAAGTACTGTAAAAACAAGTGATCAGTTGGTCTCTCCTTTAGAGTTGAGAAGCTCAATCAGCTGGTCTGCCTGCAAGACAACAGAAATTAAATGTAAATAAGGTCAACTACACTTTTAAACGATATTGCCTGAAAGATATTAATACTTTATGATAAGGAAAAAAAGCTTTTTCTGAATTTCCATTTTCACATGGTATGTTTTTTTGATGTACAATTACATTATACATACAAATAATGAGGAAGGGGCTCACCGTAATGAACCAATAGGAGTTGAGTCTGTAGAAGAGGCGAGACATGAAGCCCATTTGACTGGCAGGTGCCAGGACATGAAGGTGTAGGTGTGTCACAGAACAGAATGGGGGCCAATGAAAACCAAACCTGCAGACAAAGAAAAACAAAAAGGCTTTACTGCACATAGTCTCACTGCTCAACAGGGAGGATGGTCAATTAGTGCCAGTTGTTCAATGGTTACATTAACAGAGCAACACAAATGTTACCAAAGCTAAACAATCAGTTACAGTACAGTTAGAATTTCACAAGATTATCTATTAACAGTTTCCTTTAGATTACTTACATTCATAGTGTACACTACATTAAAGTAGATTTTATGATAATGTTTATCAGCACCTGTCTAACTGTGGAAAGTTTTCTTGTTCTTTAGTCTAGACAGGCATAGTGTTGATCACTATGTAGTAAAACTAAATTAGTAAAATCCAGAATAGAATTTAAAATCATTCTTCTTATCTACAAAGCTCTTAATGGTCAGGCACCATCTTATCTTAAAGAGCTCATAGTACCTTACTACCCCACCAGAGCACTGCGCTCCCAGAATGCAGGGTTACTTGTGGTTCCTAGAGTCTCCAAAAGTAGACTAGGAGCCAGAGCGTTCAGCTATCAAGCTCCTCTCCTGTGGAACCAGGTTCCAGTTTGGGTTCAGGAGGCAGACACCGTCTCCACATTTAAGAGTAGGCTTCCTCTTTGATAAAGCTTATAGTTAGGGCTGGCTCAGGTGAGTCCTGAACCATCCCTTAGTTATGCTGCTATAGGCCTAGACTGCCGGGAGATTTCCTATGATGCACTGAGCTCCTCTCTCCTTTACTTTCTCTCCCTCTGTATGCAACCTCATCCCATTATTGCATGTAACTAACACAACTTCTTCCCTTTCCGGTAGTCTTGTGCTTTCTCGTCCCTCTCCTCTCTCCTCCTACTATCACTTCCTGCAGATGTTTCTGGCTCTGGAGCTGTGGAGTCTGGATCTGTGGTTGCGGGTCACCTGCTGCGCCCATGTTCCTGCTCGAAACCCTCTGCTACAACAACTATTGTTACTAGTCCTATTGTTATTATTGTTATTATAATCATTATAATCATTAACATTACGATTATTATCATTAACACTATACATATCTATACCATTTCTCATTTAGTCATTTAGTCTATAGCAACATCACCTTTACTGTCTGTACCTCTGTGTGTATATTATGTAGTTTTTCCTTGCCTCTGTCGCCTAGTGCTCGCTTTTGGTGGGAATTGTTGGGCTTCTGTAAATAACATCACTGAGTATATGGTGTAGATCTGCTCTTTTTTTAAAAGTGCTGTGAGATAACTGTTGTTGTGATTTGGCGCTATATAAATAAAATTGAATTGAATCACTATTGTTGACTGTGATTGATTATGATTCACCACAAAATATTCCATCTGTCACTATTGTAAACAGAAAAACTGAACTGGCCCTTGACCCAGGGTTAATGTCAGCAAGTGACAAAAGCTGCTTATCTAAAACATTTTGGGGATGTTCCCTTTGTAGTAATCACACTGTAGCACTCGTATTCATGAGCCACTACTAACAATCAGTGTGAAGAGCCATGAACTACAAGATATTCCACAAATATAGCCCACCTGACATCACTGAGGTCTGTTACATTGTTTTTCTGGAGGATCTCCTTCCCTATCTCGACCATCCGCTTCACTGGGTATGACAACAAAAATGGACGTTCCATTTTAAACACAAGACTATTTACCATTAAAAAGAAAACTTTATATAAATAAAAGAGCAAGTATATTGTATTCATCATATTCATATTTAAGAGATAAGATAGCGTTTCAATCCACAGCATTAGTTAGCAATGCACTGTCAGTGTCAAGCAACAGTAATAAGGCGTGTAGTTTAAAACTTACCCAAGGGCATGTGTTCTTTGCTCAGTGATTTACAGTTCCCAACGTGTTTGTTTGGGACGACCAGGTAATGGTGGGGAGCTCCAGGTTTGATGTCTCTGAAACATGAGATCTCCTCATCCTGCAGCAGAGATGGTTACATACATCAGCAAATACCAATTAATAAATTAGCTTCAGGCCTGGAAAGGGACTCTAGTGTTCACTATTGTCATCAGCTAACTGCAGGCCATTTTCAGCTCTTTATCATGTCTCCTACAGCTGTGGTGTGTTTCAGGTGATGTAGCCCCACTGGTTGCCGTGCGCGTGTTGTGAACAGCAGCTGCGGACTGTCTCCTTCCCCAGATTCGTCACACATTCAAAAACATATTCCTGGCGAGTTTCAAATCGCATCTTTAATCTACATGATTGTATAAGTGAGCACTACATTATAGCCACATACGCAAAAAAAAAAAAAGAAAGAAAATAGACTTTTTACAAAATCACGTCAAGCTGGATTCGAACTCGCACATTGTTTTATACAGTCTATGGCACCTGCCTGCAGGGGGTGAAACAATAACCCCATGTATTAAAAGGTGGAAATATGAGGCACACACAAAAGACCAGCAAATCTATAAAACTATAAATTATAACACGGAATAAAAATGTGCAGTTAACTTGTAGTTACATAGCCTGAACAAAAATGAAACATTAGCTAACGTTACCATCTTTTCCATGTGTTAAAAGAGTAATTACGCAGCTTCT